GTGGGAAATTCAAGCGTTTGTCTATCTCATCATGTCTACCATACCGCATTCTAGTTGTTCTTTCACTGTCTTTAACCTCTTCTGGGTCAGGAGGTGTATCTAAAGAGGCATAATCTGACATTACTGCTACATTACGGACACATCTTTCTCCACGCTTGTAAGGCGCTGCTGGAAAGACATATAGATGAACCACAGCAGCAATACCCATCTGTCAAAAAACATTACATTCTAAGTTGACAAACTCACACCAATCCAACTGTGGATACATAAAGCATGGATTGGTCTTATAAAAATTACCTCAATACAGATGATGTAATCTTGTATTCGCGTTTTCAGTTCCTTGGCCAAAGAGCCTTTGAAAAGTCCCATCGAGAAGAGGAATGCAACAACAATACCTTGCCACCAGGTGAGGAACACAATGGACTTAAATGTTAGGAACTTGGCCAGTGGTTTAATGGGTGCTAACTTATCTTTGATGACACCATAGAACTGTACAAGGCAATACAATGCCCATGTTTGACTGAAATTGAGCACTACAGCCAGATATGGATATCTGAAATGAAACAAATATTCATATATCAGATGCTTCGTCGGAGACCACGTTAGAATCAAGATATATCAAAGAGCACACACATATTAACAAAACCCAGGGAAACAAGAGATTACCCATAATTCCATGCAAACTTTCCTTCTCCATAAACCCCAAAGGCTTCAAGGATCATTGCTAATAGAGCACAAATCATTTTCAATATCATCTGCAGCAGAATTTTTTTTTTATGTCATTTGAAACACAAATACATCATAGACCATAGTCCAGATAAATTTATGACAGTACATACATATTGAACGATGCCAATTTTCACAGCATGATAAAACTGGGGACCAAGATTCCAATCTCTCAGGAAGCAGTTCATTGGAAAGGGATGCTCTACAACTCCATAAGAACATGTGCCTTCTAGAAGAGGAGTGCTCTGGGTGATAACTGTCTGCTGTTCCATGAATTCAATTGTACGTTCTTCTCCATCTGCGGATACAGAGATCAGAAAATGACTTGTAAATTCTAACTGGGAAATAATCAAGAGGCAAAAGATGATATTTTGCAAGTGAATAGAGCATCTGAGCCATAAGTCTTCAACAATCAGCGATTTCCAAAAATGTTTTTTCTTTCTTCTTCTTCTCATGCAGAATCTCCCGTTGCATCCCAAGTAAGGGGAATTCATCATTTTTCCACAGAAAAAATTCAGCTCAATCACATACTACATACCACCCATAATTACTTTAAATCTCAATCAAGCCACTATATAACATGAATAAATTACTCTGAATATATAAACTATTCCCTTCTGGTGAATTGTCAACCACTTGTTTGTTTAAAGCCTAAAAATCAGTTTTCAGAGACTAAGAAGCTAACTGTTGAAGATTAAACAGGATTACCTAGGCAAGCTATCAAATATCTCTCAAAGCAGTAGAGCGCAAAAGCTTCATAACAATCCCGAATCACCTCGCAGTTGAAAGCTGCCTCTGAGTTCACCAAAGACAAAAACTGCCCAACAAAATTATAAAGCACGCTGAATTAGGATAATTGAAAATATGAATCTTAGAGGAAATTGCACTAAAAATTTGGGAATAACAAATATAGTAACTTATTAAACCATACCGATTCCAGGGCATAAACAGGGACCATGAGAATAAGTCCAATAAGAAATTTCTGTTCCTGTAACAAAATAAAGTCAAGAGTTATGCTTTCCTACAGGTAGTGATGTTATCAATCGACTACAGCAAGGTCTCCAAACTGCAGATCGTGAGTGAACGTTAATACAAATGAATCAATATCATTACTACGAGAAAGAGACCAAGAGTTTAGGAAGTGATAACAAACCTCAGGCTGATTATAAGAAGCTAGGTGCTCAAAGATAAGATACATAGGGAGGACGATGGCAACAACCACGAATACACTGGCACTTAAGATTGGCCAAGTGAAGGATGTTCCAGTATCAACACCGAGATTAGGACGCCACATTATCCCGAATCTACTTGACGACTCTCCCATGGAGATAATATAGAACAGAGAGCAGAGGATTCCCCTCCACTCCATTTACACACAGTGAAAGGAAGAAGCAATCTTCACATCAAGCAAGATAATACTTTTCCCATCCACGGCTCATAGATACCAATCCCAAAGTCAGTGTGATCTAGCTATGACAATAGCAGTGATGACCCTTGTGATTTGCAGAGAGAAAAATTGATTTGGGAGAGAAGAGAAGAAAGCTGCATTACGAGTAACAACGACATCGATTAGGTTATGTTATGATAAAATCGGAAACTTCGGAAACCAAAATGTCTGAGACACAAGAAAAGCTAAATTACGATGACACGAATTCCTTGATCTGAGTCGTCTTTATCAGATTACTTTTCCAATGAAGGAACAAGAGTTAAAAACAAGAATCAAAAAGCTAAATCATCCATACCCAGCAAAACGAACGATTTCGCAAAACCCTAAATCACCGACTCCATAAAGACGATACAATGAGAAATTGCACTCATAGGAGTATGAATCCCCGAATCAATTCCGTTATCCAGAAAGAACAAACCCTGAGTCTCAGTGCCTTCGAATTTGCTTGTATCAAAAAAAAAAAAAGGAAATTCAACAAAAATCGAGCCTGATATTTTTTTTTTTCTTTCTTTTTTCTATCTCGAGTTTTTGGCTCTTTTAAATAATTCTGATTTTCCGCGTGGAAGAAGAGAAAGCGTCTAAAAAGGAAAAATTCTCCCCTTTTGTGCTTTGCCGGTTGTGGCAAGCTAAACCCCTTCCCAAAGCACACTTTCTACGACTCTAATTTACATTTACTGACGTATTTATTCCAATTGTTACTTAATTTACTTGATTTTATTGTTTTTATTAGTGAATGAATGTTCTGAAAATTAAATCAACTTACTTAGAACCCCAATATCAGCAAAAGAAAACTCATACTCTAATCTAAGATCAACGTTTGGTATTTAGACTTTATTCTTGCTCTTAGATTTGTAAATATTTTTGATCGGATATACACATTTATTTGTATGAAGAAAATATTCTATCTTCTACAACAAATAAATAAATAAAACTTATTGATTACCGATTAACCAACCACCATGCACTAATTAAGAATGATGAAGTCAAAAGTATCTCCTTAAAAAATGGGATGAAGGAAAGAGATCAAGTCGAAGTATATTTCTGCTAATAGCCTAATATCCAACAACCTTTAACTTATATCTCTTAAAGCTTTGATTATAATCACTACTAGTAGTTCGCAACACTCGATCATAGATACAAAATGATATAGTTTATTAACCATCAATATGGAGGACACGTGGACAGCTGAGATGAGTGGAGCTAGCTCAGCGTAACAAACCAAATAAACATACTATATCATGGACATGTCGATTACATTTTCATTCATACAGAAAAGTAGTTGCAATTTCTATTTTCTTCTTCTTCGAAACTCTCTGTACTCAGTTGTATCGGATTGCATCTTGAGCTCAGGAATCTTTCTTCCGTTTAGATTTCTTGATCAGGTGTGTGGAGATTTTGTTTTATGAATACTAATCTTTCTTTTCCATTTTCATTTTCTTCAAAGTGAACTCTCTAATCAGTTTCTATAAAAAGAAAAAAAAATTGATCGATCAGAAGTTTTTTCCTTTTCGATTCAAGCTAACAGACATGGCCGGTGGAGCCCTAAAGAGAGCTCATCTCTATGAGCATCGAATCACTGGTTACTTCATATTCGCTTGCGTCGTTGGATCCATGGGAGGCTCTCTCTTCGGCTATGATCTCGGAGTTTCTGGTAGCTCTCCTCTCTCTCTCGATCTGTGTTTATCTAATATCAATCTAAAACACGGATTCCGAAGCTCTCAAGTCTTGTTACTCAATAGGATCAGCTTCAGTTTTGTACAATTTCCCTTGTTTAAACTCCAGAGTTTACTTTCTTGTAACTCAATAAAAACCTAGAGTGTTCTCTGACTCTCTGATTTTTTTATTTTTCCTGAGATTTCTTGATCTGGATTTGTCCGATGTTACCCCAAAACTCTCATTTCGAAATTCTCCTCTCTGATTAGGGTCAGCTTCAGTTTTGTTAAATGTCTGCTGCTTAAGCTCCAAATTTTTAACTTTCTTGTGACTCAAGAAACCTACCTATGCAAGATTCATTGCTCATTTCTTTCTTCTTTCTTGTCAAACGCAGGTGGTGTTACATCAATGGACGATTTCTTGATAGAGTTCTTCCCAGGAATCTACAAAAGAAAACAGATGCATTTGAACGAAACAGATTACTGCAAATACGACAATCAAATCCTCACACTCTTCACCTCCTCTCTCTACTTCTCCGGTTTAATCTCAACTTTCGGAGCCTCTTATGTCACCAGAATCCACGGTCGAAGAGGAAGCATCCTCGTCGGATCCATAAGCTTCTTCCTCGGCGGAGTCGTCAACGCCGCCGCCAAAAACATCATCATGTTAATCCTCGGTCGAATCTTCCTCGGCATAGGCATTGGATTCGGAAACCAGGCAAAACTCAAAATAAACATATACTCTCAACTCTAAACCGGATTTACGTCTAACCATTGGTTTAACTTCTGTGTTTGCTTTCACAGCCGGTTCCGTTATACCTCTCGGAGATGGCTCCAGCAAAGATTCGAGGAACCGTGAATCAGCTTTTCCAGCTAACAACTTGCATCGGCATTTTAGTAGCTAATTTGATAAACTACAAAACAGAGCAAATCCATCCATGGGGATGGAGACTCTCTCTTGGCCTAGCCGTGGTACCAGCTACACTCATGTTCCTCGGTGGGCTCGTCTTACCGGAGACACCCAACAGTCTCGTCGAACAAGGGAAGCTCGAGGAAGCTAAATCCGTACTGATCAAAGTTCGTGGCACAAACAATATCGAAGCTGAGTTTCAAGATCTTCTTGAAGCTAGTGAAGCTGCAAGAGCCGTGAAGCATCCGTTTAGGAATCTTCTTGCTCGGAGGAATAGACCACAGCTAGTGATTGGAGCGGTTGGGCTCCCTGCGTTTCAGCAGCTAACCGGGATGAATTCGATTTTGTTTTATGCTCCGGTTATGTTTCAGAGCTTAGGGTTTGGTGGTTCAGCCTCGCTTATCTCGTCCACGATCACAAACGCTGCGCTTGTTGTCGCGGCAATCATGTCTATGTATTCGGCTGATAAATTCGGAAGAAGGTTTCTTCTTCTTGAAGCTAGCGTCGAGATGTTCTGTTACATGGTAACTTTTCTTAGAAATCCAAGTAACGTGCGATACAAGCTAGGTCTCAAAGAACTAAAACCCTAAAAATGTTCATTTTTTTTCGCAGGTTGTAGTAGGAGTAACACTAGCCTTGAATCTTGGGGAAGGCAAAGAGCTACCACAATCGCTCGGTTTGATTCTTGTGGTGCTTATATGTTTGTTTGTATTGGCGTACGGTCGGTCATGGGGGCCAATGGGATGGTTAGTTCCAAGCGAGCTTTTCCCTTTAGAGACTCGATCGTCAGGTCAGAGCGTTGTGGTGTGCGTTAACCTTTTCTTCACGGCGCTTATCGCTCAGTGTTTCCTCGTTTCGCTGTGTCATCTCAAGTACGGAATATTCCTTTTATTCGCCGGACTTATCTTCGGGATGGGAAGCTTCGTTTACATTTTGTTGCCGGAGACGAAGCAGGTTCCGATTGAAGAGGTTTATCTTCTGTGGAGACAGCATTGGCTTTGGAAGAAATATGTCGATGATTATGATGAAAGATGAAGAAAAACAAAAATTAGGGGAAGTTTTTGGATCTTTTTAAGGGTTGAAAAGTTGACGATGGGATCTTCTTCCCTGACGAAAGGAAGAATTGTATTTGGAAAAATATAGGAAAGAAGATCATTTTCTGGTATTTTTTGCGTGATAATGTCAAGTCATTGTGCTATCAAAACCTATGAGATATTTAAACTTCAAGAAGTTTTAAAGTTGTAGGATATGTTAATTTGAGTTATACATATATATATCTTATTATATCTAATGCATACACTGATCAAATGTCTAAACAAAAACAAAAGTTCATTTTATCAATAGCTTTTAATTTAAAATAAATTGTACAGTTGTAATTAATCAGAATGTTGCATACGATTCAGAAACAAAATAAACCTTTCCAGAACTAAGAATGTGCTGAGCTCAAAGAAATAGAACTAGGTTTGTTGGCAGGGCCGTACCTATCTCAGAAAATTAGAAACTTTGGTCTACGGGCTTTTTTTTTAAAAAAAAAAAGAAAAATATGCTTAAGTTTTTCTGATTATAGTAACAAACACAATTTCTGATTATAGTAATATTATAGTTATAATATTACTATAATAAGAAACTTTGGCATACGGGTCTTTTAAAGTTTCTAAAAACATAATGCTCAATTTTTCTGATTATAGTAATAAATATAATATTTTTAAAAACTTTGAAAATATTATAAATTATTACTATTAAAAACGGATATAATAAAAATTATGTAACTAACCCATTAATCTTTTTCGCACATATCATATTCACAGTCATTTTACCATTCTTTTTTTTTTTACAATAAAACATTACATTTATATTAGTTTATTTTTTAGCCAAAAAATTATATTAAATTTTTAGTGTAGTATTATATTATTTGAAATAACGATGACTATTATTTTAACAAAAATAATTTTTTATATACCACTTCGGGTCTGCACAACTCTGGGCATGAACCTCTGGGCATGACCTTGTCTCTAGCCATTGTACTTTAAAATTTTGATTAGATTATTCTTCGTGTCCAATTTACCATATATTAATCTGCGCTCTCTTTGGTTGTATGTATATTTATACATTGTTTCTGAAACAACTTTTCTAACGTGCTATAATTCTATAAATAAAGATATGCACAAGAAATAATTAGAAGAAGAAGGAGAAAAAAAGGCAAGGAGAGCAAATCAGTTGTGAGCCGTAATGGGTGTTCTGTCTCTGCTCCTCTGTTTTGTCTTAACATGCTTCCTTTTCTTATTCTTCTTCATCACTATAAAAGCTGCCAGTGTTTAGAAACATATTCCAAGTCAGATGCAGTCCTCATCGTTTGCTTGCCGCTCTCTAGAAAACTTTTGGACCAAGAATGGGTCTAAAGCTTGGAAGTTTAATTACAATTGTATTATATCTTCACCGGAAGTGGCAAAAGAGGCACTAAAGACACACGAGCTTTTTCTTATCTGCCCGCGAACCTTTAACGATCTGGTTCGAGTCTTTGATCACCATGAGTTTTCTGTTGCATGGGGTCCTCCCTCAGCTCGTCATATATAAAGTACTATATATTGTAGTCAATACACTAATATCTCCGGCATTAAAGTTTCATTAGTACAACCGTTTCAGAAGACAATTGTTATCTTAGTACTATCGTTGTGCCAAAAAAAAAGATAAATTATATCTTTAGTACCATCAAAAGTACAAATTATAATTATCGTTGTGATGGACATATTCTATTTTAAAGAAGTACTTATGTGAGAATGATATGTGCCGAAAGAATATGTATAAAGGTGGCGCGAAGATTGATGATTTGATGTTGATACAATTGTAAAAATTCCATGATTTTACATATTAAAATTGGCTTTCGTAATTGGAATTTCTGTAAGTATATTCACGATATTGAGTTTTAGATTTCGGCCCTGTATAACTAATTCACATGTTAGTTTTGCAAAATAAGTATGTTTTTTTTTAATCAAAAGATATGTTCACTCCTAAGTTTAACTACTCTAACTGATCCAAACATCTATGTGTACTTATATATATATATATATATATATTTATTCATTTATCATTTATATGTGAGGTTACGACTTAAATCACTTGAATAAATTTCGTTATATATTCAACCAAAATATATTCTTTGAATCATTTATATGTGAGGTCAAGCAAATAAATAATTTACTCAATTAGTCAGAAGTTGAAAGAATTCTATATTAAGTCAGTGTGCAAACACGAATGCACACTTTTTATGCATCAATGTACAACACTCTACCACACACACACACACACACAAAAATGAATGTACAACAATATTTAGTGTAGAGGGTTGTGTAGTGGTTACTGGTTAGGTGTGTGCCGGTTTATAATTATAGCAACCGTGACAAGCGAAAAAGGACAGGGAGATTATGTACTGAATTGTTGCAACTGTGTGGTCAATTTTACGAAAGTTGGAAAATTTAGGGGTCCAAATATTTCTCTATAGCCCACAATTAACCAACCTTTTATTCTTGTAGGCTCAAACTGGTCCCAGCCCATTCATTGTTCTCACCTACTAACAAATTGTTGAATACGTTTTACAGGAACAAATTTGTTTCCCATCTACTGTATCCCACCCATCTACTGTATGTTGTATAACATATAAATTACCATAGATGCTCAAATATTTATTTATATGTTATCGTTTTACACAACTAATGGAATTAATCTGAGTCTCGTTCATTAACTAATGTGAAGTTTATCACAAAATTTTCTCGAATCAAAACCTAAAGTCGTTTTACAAAATTAAAGGAATTAAAGGAACTATATTTCGTTACTCGTAACCAATATTTTGCTGACGATATTATCTAAGCCATGCACTACGTGGTAACGAATTTAACTAATGACCTATGCAGCTAGCTATATATATGTGTGCGTTTATATTTTTAATTGGGCATGGATTCGTGAAATTTATGCAAACAAAAACAATGAAAAGTGAAAGACCTTTTATCCAAAAAAACAATGAAAAGTGAATAGAAATTTTAGAACATACAGAAAACGGACAGATCGATTATCAGCATAAACATATATAGGATAATGCTGCGTCACACGCGCGCACACACTAACGTTTATATATTCTTCTTCCAAAAATATCACAATTATTAAGTGCGAGGAATGGATGCTGTTGGATTTTCATAATGGCAATTCACACATCTTTATTTTATACTGAAAAAAAAAGAAGAATTCATTACGCAATTGATGGTAGCATGGAAACCCTAATCTTATGCACGAGGTACGCCATGTTATTAATTTCTAATTTCAAGGCAACTTATATTTATTTAAAACTATTTTACTCATAGTAAAATTGCATATTATATCAAATTTTAAAAACTAGCTGAATTTTATTCGAACACCGGCGACGTTTAAGAAAACTGTTCATCATGATTTGATATTTGTCATGAGGAGTTTATGGGTCTATGCCCGGGATTGCTTAGTTAACTGGTATATTAACACAATAAACAATTAGTTAAAAATATTATATAATTATTCGTTTATTTTCTTGGTATAATATACTTTTTATTTCACTTTCGTCAGCTTTCCTGCCACATTTTTTTTTCTGGCAAATCCTTCCCCGTTTTGTTTAATATCAATTCAATATATATAATTTAGAAACTAGCTAGCTGGTAGCGTAAGGATTAAATAACTCCGTCAACACAATCTATGAAGGTTAGCTTTTGAATATCAGCAGTATTCATACTTGGATATAGACCCGAACACTACCTAGAAATACTTCAAAATTTTAAAATATACTACTAGTTTACACCTGCGTTCTTATTCAATTAACCATCATAAACTAAAATAAACATAAATAGACTCATAAATAGTTGTCTGAAAAAATACTATATGACATTTATTTTCGTTGATAAGAAAACGCCAAAACGGCATGCTTCTATTTCTCAAGAATTTTTAGCTAGCAATCAGTCAATACAATTAGAATGGCTAAGTTGTAGCATTAATATCCAAATACACTCAAATGAAAATGATACTCTCAGGTACTAAAACGTCACGATCGATCAAATCAATTACCAACAAAAAAAAGTAGTAGTAGAAAAAATCGAAATGGTGAAATGTGTTGAATAACGGTATAAGTGTGGTAAATGAACATTAAATATCGAATGTATGGAAGAAATGATGATAATATAAATAAAATCAAAATGAAAATAGAAACTCGGGAGATAAAAATAAAGGCATGTGGGAAGGGTGTTGACAGTTGTCAGAAATGCCATGCTGAGATGGGGCAAAGAGCCTTCACTCCTTGTGGGTCTCTTTAATTATCTCTTTTCCTCTTCCCTTCCTTCTAATTATTGTATCTTTTTTTTTCTTCTACCATAACAGTAAATTATACTCTATGATCTGCTTATTAGCAATTTTTTCCCAATTTAAAACCCAAAAAATCCGAGTTTCTAGACGAGAGAATTCATATTATACTACATACAGTATGCCATTGATAAGTATCGATATAATTATTTTCTTTATAAAATTAATACTCTTGCATCAGAAACAGAAAGCCATCAGATGGTAGGAAAGGTGCAAGCAACTAAGCATCAATGGCGAATGAAAAAAGATCAAACATACTATGTGTTGTGTTGTGTAGTACTTCATATAGGATAGTATATTGATAGTATGATGAAAGCTTTAATTCTCGGTTCGAATTATAGGGTTTGGAGAACTCGTTTTCCCACCGAAAGACATTCATTTCTACATGACAAACAAATATATAGAAATTAATGTTTTCCACCGAAAGACATTCATTTCTACATTTCTATTTTCGTCTCCCCATATATTATAAGTATACACTATTTCAAAATATTAGCATTCATTTAAATTGAAAAAAAATCTAGCTAATGCATGTATATCAACAGCACGTAATGGATTAAATTCCTATAGTAATATAGTTTATAGTTTACATGTATATATATTTTTAATTATAATTAGTTTACGCATATTCGTGATTTTAGTTTTATCCTTACAATTCTCCCTCTTCTATTGTTCTATTCCAAAAAGAATTTTATGACCATATATTGAAATAATGAAGTTCATCCATGGGCCATGCATAGGTTATCACGTCGAAAAGATAATTAAACATACTTACTTGCCGAATGTGAAATACTAACATTAAATAAAAGGGGGTCATTTTCACATATATATATTGGCGTAATGTGAACACACCTGTCATCATAAGTAAGCGATCCACTGTCCTTTTCTAACCAACTTCAACATTTTCACTTCAATACTTAAAAACTCTCTCCTTCTCTCTCTCTCTCTCTAGTCTTTATATAAACCCTACGTACGTACTCTCATCACACTCACTGCGTCAAACCCACGTGTCAATGACCGAGTCCTCCATCTCCTCCCTCAAACAATCGTCTCCGGTACTAGACGAGGATCATCACCACCAACATCAACCCAGCAAGAAACGGGTTAGATCCGACCCGGGTTACCGAGGCGTCCGGATGCGAACGTGGGGCAAGTGGGTTTCCGAGATCCGTGAGCCACGCAAGAAGAGCCGAATCTGGCTCGGCACTTTCTCCACGGCGGAGATGGCGGCGCGTGCTCACGATGCGGCTGCTCTCACCATCAAAGGAACCTCCGCCGTCCTCAACTTCCCGGAGCTCGCCACCTACCTTCCCCGTCCAGCTTCGTCTTCTCCACGTGACGTTCAAGCCGCCGCCGCCGTAGCCGCCGCCATGGACTTCTCCTCCTCCTCCTCCGCCGTCGTGATCTCTGACTCCGAGCACACCGCCGTCGTCACGGAGGCGCATTTATCTTCTTCGTCGAGCTACTCGACGTCTACGTCGTCTTCGTCGTTGTCACCGTCGAGCGAAGAAGCTGCGTCGTCGACGGCGGAAGAACTGAGCGAGATAGTCGAGTTACCGAGTCTAGAGACGAGTTACGATGAGTCTTGGAGCGAGTTCGTGTACGTTGACTCGGCGTATCCACCTAGTCCGCCTTGGTATTTTAATAACTGTTATAGCTTTTATTACCACAGCGACGAAAATGGCACTTCGATGGGTGAACCTTTTGAGTCTTCCAATTTTTGCCCCCTTTTTCCTTAGTTTTCTTTTTTAATTTAATCCCTTCTTGTTTTAAAATTTCCTGTTTAATTAGCCTAGCTAATTTCTCTGAGGTTTATTTTATTATTGGATCCACAACAGAGTTTAATATACTCGATTAAACTTGAGTTTATCATATACTAATGTTTTTCATTTTTTTTAAAGTTTGATCGGATCTCCAAGAACTAAAGTTACAACAAATCACACTAGTAAGAACACGCCAATGTTTGACCCCCCCAAAAAAAAAGAACACGCCAATGTGATTGGACGATAACTACTTCTTCTGTTTTTGTAAATTCAGCAAAAGCATGCTTTTTAGGTGAATGTTTGGAAAACTAAACTATTTATATCAAAGGTTTGGTATCGGCTTATATACTTTAGTTTTGAATGTTTAATTAGTTTGTATAATTAATCAAAAATGTGGTCTCGGATGGTCTGTTAACTGACATATATGGAATCTTTTCAGCTTGGTATTTATTATCACCCTCCGAATTTATTTCACAAAATCTTCCTTGTTATAACGATTTAACCAACTCTGAAATCTGCGTCTAATCAATCAGAATTACAAATACAATAATACGACGCTTATAAAATACTCCTTTTGCGTCTCGCGCTTTTTATTCCCTGTTGGAAAACAATTAAAAAATCTCAAGGAAATTTCGTTAAAAAGGAAAAACTGAAGAATATTTTAAACACGAGGAGTAAAACTTTATTGTTTTGCCAAAACCAATCTTTGCAGGCTAAGCAACTAAGCAATGTTTACTCTTATTTGACTTTTTGCATTAGTCAGAATAATTAATGACTTGATTGTATTATCAATACAAAATATTTTTGTAAAATAGAATAATAATTTTAACGTGACACTTTTAATAAAACATATGGAGTAATAGTATAATACGTTACACGATGAATTTAATATTTTTATGTTTGAAAACTTCATTTTCATTTGCGAATCCAACCATGATGCAGATGCTTTTTATATTCGTTTTATAAAGAAATTCATTTGATGCAAAATCAATCAAACATTGCGTGAGTCTTCTCGACGAAAACAAAACATCAATCAACACCGCCTCATAAGGTGATTAAGTTAACATACATGATACATCTATTATAATCATCGTACATTGATTTAAACTAAGATTAGTTGTTACGTTAGGTGATTAGTAATGCATTTAACTATTCCGCAGGAAAAGGCCATTTGCCATTGGGATCCGCGGTCAACGGAGGTTCCACCCACGAGCACAGTCTTTAGTTATTTAATGTTCCCTCAAATATAGACGATCCTCTTAATTATTTTAATGGGATCCCAATTTACATGCTCTAATAATGTCTACAAGTTTTCTAAACCAATAGTACTATATATACTATGTTAGTATATGAATTATTATGCGTAAAAATCAGAAATAGAACTTTCTAAAAAATATCGCAACACCCAGAGCCGGCCCTGAGACCAAGCATAAGCTTGCAGCTTTATATTTTTGATATAATTTTTTTTTTAATCTGCGGCCCATTTTTTTTAGTTATAAAATTGTCTATTTTTTTAGTTATAAAACGTTTCATTTGTTATTTTAACTTACAGCCACTTAAAACTCAAAGCCGGCTCTAGCAAAACCATAAGAAACGATTACATGATCATTGATGACCCAAAAAAAAAAAAACCAAAGGAATGTATATTGTCCAAACTTGAAACCACTTATTTACGTTAGTAACTAATCTGAAAGGTGTGGAAGGCGGAAGCAATATCTCTTTGTTTCTCACAAAATATTCTACATAACGTAGAATTCTCTAGAAATATATATTAAAGTGTTTTCGTTAATCTGATTTTAATCACAATAGCTTTAACCTTATCGAACGCTTTAGCACCCTCAAATATTTCATTTAAGCCTACAACGATTCTACAGAAAAATGATAAAAATTTGTTTGCATATACATGATACTTCTTCACCATTTAAGCTTAAATTAATGTATCACAAATTCATGTGACATTTCAAATATGACGGGAGGACGGTTCCACTTGTATAAAAAATACCTCACATTTCAAGGTGTGTAATGCAAGGAAGTGCAATCAACAGAGCGTAAAATAAGTCAAACGGTCAACATCTTTGTCGCTTAGCTAAGCTTAACTCAAACACGCCAAGTTGAGAAAACGATGTCCGATATAGTTAACTACCTTTCCCTTCCAACAATTCCGTGCTCCCATATTAGGAATGTTAGAACATGTACATTAGAGGACTTTATTAAAAATTGCTTAAAATTATTGTAATATGTTTTTATAAACAATTTTTTATGTGCGAGTTCTAAAAATTCTTTTGCAAAGATCGATCCTAATTGTTTGGGTTACCTTTTCATTATTTTAACCTAAAATATTAATTAGCAATCCAAGAAAAAAAATGTTAGGAGCCCTCAATGGACATGGTCTTATATATAGGCTTAGAACTTAAAATCTCATGTGAACCTTTTGAGTTTTGAACGCTTATATATCCATCTTTACCTTCAATTCGATGAGCCTTCTAAAATTGATTATATATATTTCTTTTTGTTTTAATCAATGTTTAATGTTTTGTAGACCAAATATATGGTGATGTTAATTAACGAAAACATGGTTATGCCATTCTTGAGAAAACACATATAAAACTACTAGATTATTATCCTAGAAACTAGAGTTTAGTAACTTCTAAGAAAACTAGAGTTTAGTAGAAAATACTAACGTATTAATGCGAATTTTCGTTAAGAAAAGTAGAAAACTAAGTTATGTAAATATTTTGGGCAACTAAAAATCAACAAGACGCTTTGGCCGAGTGGTTAAGGCGTGTGCCTGCTAAGTACATGGGGTTTCCCCGCGAGAGTTCGAATCTCTCAGGCGTCGTATTTTTTCATAAGTTTTTTTTAGCCGACTTAAAAGAAAACCACTCTTATCCAACACTGCGTATAAAATAGTTGTTGTTTTTTTTTTTTTTTTTTTTAACCAACCCTAAAAGGCTTCGCAAGCCTGAATTTTTCTTTCGTTTCCCAGAAACAAGCTTCTCCTCCGTTCGTTGTTCTTCGTCGCTCTGCAAGAGCGCCGCATCGCACCGCGTCACGTTTTACATCTCTCAAAATCGCTCATACCTTCTGGTCAATTTCCTCTCAAGGTTAGCTTCTTCCATTATCTTCTTACACACACTTCTGCTTTTGCTTTCCTCTCTTGTAGTTTCGTTTTCTGCTGTTTTTTTTTTTTGTCTCTGTCAATCTCAAAGCTCATCGATTGTTAAATCCCTACTTGATTTCGTTCTATTGTAGATAATTCAATCCAGATTTAATCTGAATTAGTCGGGATCTAATCGTCGAGTTTTATCGCTAGAAACCCTAATTCCAGGGGATCTGTGCAATCTTACAGTTTGCTCACCATCATCTTCTGGTAAGTTCTGATTGGTATTGTACCTGTTCTTGTATGCAGGTTGCTGGAGTTAAATATCTGGGTGCGAGCATCTTACTATGACGACTCTTAAAGACATTCTACCTCCGGCCAAATCAACAACTACGACTTTATATGATCATACTAATGATCCATGGTTCAAAAACCGTTTCACTGAATCCGAGTCGGAAAAGTCCTCGGCTGTGGCTTTCAAAGCAGTTCCTGTTTACCTGAAACGTCAAGGTTTCCGTCCGAGGAATCCTGAGGACTTTGGAGATGGTGGTGCTTTCCCGGAGATTCATGTTGCTCAGTATCCTCTTGGAATGGGTAAGAACAAATCCAACAAGCCTGGTTCCAAGACTCTGCCTGTTACTGTGGATGCTCAGGGAAACGTGGTCTTTGACGCCATTGTGAGGCAGAATGAGAACTCGAAGAAGATTGTGTACTCTCAGCATAAGGATATTATCCCTAAGATACTGAAAAACGAGGGAGACTCGGATGAGGTTGTGGATGAAGAGGAGGAATTGCAGAAGCAGATTCAGGAGACTGCGGAAGAAACAAAAGCTGCCATTGAGAAGATTGTCAACGTGAGGCTGAGTGCAGCGCAGCCTACCAATGTACCTAGGCAATCAGGTGACTCGAAGTACATTAAATATAAGCCATCACAGCAATCTTCAGCGTTCAATTCCGGTGCGAAAGAGAGGATCATTAGGATGGTGGAGATGCCTCAAGATCCTCTTGATCCACCAAAGTTCAAGCACAAGAGAGTCCCAAAGGCGTCTGGCTCTCCGCCTGTTCCGGTCATGCATTCGCCGCCCAGGCCTGTTACCGTCAAGGACCAGCAAGACTGGAAAATCCCTCCTTGTATCTCCAACTGGAAAAATCCGAAAGGTTATACGATCCCTCTTGATAAACGTCTTGCTGCTGATGGAAGAGGCCTACAAGATGTTCAGATCAATGATAACTTTGCCAAGCTATCAGAGGCCCTCTATGTAGCTGAGCAGAAAGCTAGAGAGGCTGTTGCAATGCGGTCAAAGGTGCAAAAAGAGATGTCGATGAAGGAGAAGGAAAGAAAAGAGCAGGAACTGAGAGCCCTTGCCCAAAAAGCTCGTTCCGAAAGAACTGGTGGTGGTGCTGCTGCTGCGAGTATGCCTGTCTCATCTGACAGGGGTAGGAGTGAAAGTGTTGATCCAAGAGGTGATTACGACTATGACCGCGAGAGAGAAAGGGAAAGAGAGAGAGAGAGGGAAGGGCCGAGAGAGAGTAGAGAGGAAAGGGAAGAGCGGATTCAGAGGGAGAAGATCAGAGAAGAGCGTCGCAGGGAAAGAGAGAGGGAGAGAAGGTTGGAAGCTAAAGATGCTGCAATGGGGAAGAAGAGCAAGATCACCAGAGACAGAGACCGTGATATCAGTGAGAAAGTTGCTCTCGGAATGGCATCTACCGGAGGAAAAGGCGGTGAAGTTATGTACGATCAACGTCTGTTCAACCAAGAGAAAGGAATGGACTCTGGTTTCGCCACGGACGACCAATACAATGTATATGACAAAGGCTTGTTCACTGCACAAGCCACCCTTTCGACGCTGTACAAGCCAAAGAAGGATACTGATGAGGAAATGTACGGAAACGCAGACGAGCAGCTTGATAAGCTCAAGAACACTGAGAGGTTTAAACCAGACAAAGCTTTCACCGGTGCTTCCGAGAGGTCGGGTAAGAGAGAACGACCCGTTGAGTTTGAGAAGGAAGAGGATCCTTTCGGTCTTGACCGGTGGGTGCATGATTTGAAGAAAGGTAAGAAACCTCTGGACAAAATCGGGTCTGGAGGAACTATGAGAGCAAGTGGCGGTGGTGGTAGCTCGTCAAGGGATGATTATGGTGGTTCTGGTCGAACCAAGATCAATTTCGAACGTGGTGATCGTTAAAGTTATAAACTGCTCAGTAAAACTATCTTTGATTCAATAAAACTTCTTGTTTGGATCTATGGAAACAATTTGCTTTTGATGCAGTATTATGTTGTAGTGAATCTCTGAAACTTTTCGTAATATGCAATCTTTCAGCTTTCTCTATATTGGATCACATTAGTGTCACGAATTATTGTACTTAAGTTTTTGGTTTTAAAGGTTTACGAGTTTTGTTTCCATCTTTTTGTTGAAGGAGAAAAACCAAAGACACATGGTGTTCTTCTCTGGTCTTGGCTCCAGGCTTAATGGTGTTAAGAAAACAAATTACTTGACCATCTTTCACCGTTCGAATCACTCGATTACACCGGCCGCCATAGACGAACCATACGTCTCTATCTCATCTTCCTCGACTACGTCTCTTTCACCTGAAGACCGAAGCAAATTCTTAGCGACGCTGTTATCAAACTGCAACAGCCTCGCTCGTGTCCGTCGTATCCATGGTGATATTTTCCGTTCTCGCATCCTCGATGAAGATCGGATCGCTTTCTTATGGAACAACATCATGCGATCCTACGTACGCCATGGTTCTCCTCTCGATGCACTTCAAGTGTACCTCGGTATGGTGAGATCAAATGTTTCGCCGGATCGATACAGCCTTCCGATCGTAATCAAAGCCGCCGTTCAGATTCACGACCTTCCGATGGGAAAGCAGCTTCATTCCGTCGCCGTGAAGCTAGGGTTCGTCCGAGATGAGTTCTGCGAGAGTGGGTTCATAACGTTGTATTGCAAGGCAGGGAAGCTCAGGGATGCACGTAACCTGTTCGATGAAAATCCTGAGAGAAAGTTAGGATCTTGGAACGCCATCATCGCTGGGCTTAATCAGGCAGCGCGAGCCAACGAGGCTGTGGAAATGTTCGTCGAGATGAAAAGGAACGGATTTGAGCCGGACGATTTCACCATGGTGAGTGTGACGTCAGCTTGCGGAAGCTTAGGTAATCTGAGCTTGGCTTTTCAGCTGCACAGGTGCGTCCTAGAAGCTAAACCCGAGGAGAAATCCGACACGATGATGATGAATTCACTCATCGACGTGTATGGAAAATGTGGTCGCATGGATTTAGCGAGCCAAGTGTTCGACGAAATGCCACACAGAAACGTTGTCTCTTGGACCTCCATGATCATGGGTTATGCAGCTCACGGGAAAACGTTAGAGGCTTTAGAATGCTTCCGTGATATGAGAGACTCCAGTGTCAGACCAAACGGTGTCACATTCTTGGGAGTACTCAGTGCTTGCGTCCATGGAGGTCTTGTGGAGGAAGGGAAAACGTATTTCGCAATGATGAAGTCAGAGTTCGGTTTAGAACCGAGATTATCGCACTACGGATGCATAGTTGATCTACTGAGCCGGGATGGGCAGATTAAGGAGGCTAAGTTAGTGGTGGAAGGGATGCCAATGAAGCCTAGCGTGGTTGTTTGGGGTTGTTTGATGGGTGGGTGTGAGAAGTTTGGGGATGTTGAGATGGCTGAGTGGGTGGCTCAACACATGATTGAGCTCGAGCCTTGGAACGATGGTGTTTATGTGGTCTTGGCTAATGTGTATGCAACCAGAGGGATGTGGAAAGATGTTGAGAGAGTTAGGAAGATGATGCAGGACAAGAAGCTTGCTAAGATTCCTGCCTATAGCTATGCTTCGACCACGGTTTGAAAATCCGGTGCTTTTGAAACTTGTCTCTCTCCCTCCATCTTCAAACAATGTAACATCATAATTTGGTCTTCTTCTTTTGATAAAGAAATTTTAACTATAATTTTCCTTTCATTCATAGTTTTTTGAAGTTCAAAGACTCAAAGTCTTCACTCTTTCTTATGGCCTTTTTTCCCACATTTTATTGATAACTTTCTGGTTCTTTGTGTTTTTTTATGAGACTTTTTGTCGCTTGCTGAAAATAGAGCAGCGCTCGGGAAGACCCAAAATTTAAACTGAGATGTTGCCATGAAGGAATGTTTTCGACTTTTCGCAAAGTAGAAGGATTAAGGATTTAATTATGGATAAAATTTTCATTCATGGGCTCATGGCGGAAACCGAAATTTGCGGGCTTCGAGGCCTGTTAGCTGTTTAACAACAAGGTTTTTAATTGACTTTCAATTCAAAATTTCAATTAAAAAAAAAAGGATTACTTAAAAATGTGTATGAATTATACAAGTTACCCAACTTTTTTAATGTCCCTCTTGAAAATTTAAAATTTTTAGGTGACTAAATAGCATCTAAATAAGAAAGAGTCTAAATCATTGGATATTAGCTACCGTCACTCAGATTATAAACTTATACATATAATTATCTCAGAGAACCAATCATCATATATCATAATATTATGTAAAATATACACATGCATGTGTCACCTTCGTATAAGCCAAATCTATAAGAAGTTATAATATAGATTAGCCATCAAAACGGACAAATCTGACTATAAAGATTATTGCTTCCAAATATGTGACAACGAATTTCATCAAATTCTTTTATCATATGCTATGATGATCTAATAGTCATGGATAAAGTGTTGAAGATGAAATATTAAAGTCGTGTGGCTTTTGCATTTATCCTTTTAATTGCATTGTCATTAACAAAGAAAGATGAGTGCATGCATAGCTTGATCGGCAGATCGGTCCAAATTAAGCGAAAACAATATTATTTTTTATCTTCGTTAAAATTAATACGGATATCTCTGACTTGTAATCAATTATATATGAAAAAACAAACAAAAATTACATAAATTAACACTAATATTTCATATATTACTTAACCAACACATTGTAAAACTTTCTAAAACGAAAGTAACTATAATAACACGAATATTAGTAAAAATTCTATGGGTGTTAAAAATAACTAAATTATTTCTTCATCTTAAAATTACATATTACGCCATTTTCAATAACTTATTAAATTATTCATTTAAATGTTGAGATTAGACTATATATAAATATATATATATATATATATATTTGTAATTTTAGCTAAACCTTCATGCAGGTTATTATTTCCGACAGTCTAACTACATGTAGACGGAAAATCTGTTTTGCTGAATTAAAGTATTAAACCAAAGCATTTTAATTTCCCAAAGAAAAATTAGACTTAAATAAATTATCTTCAGAATGGTTTTATATAAAAGATAGTATACCGAGCTTCAAATATGTGTAATATACGACAAGTGGAAAGTGACATGAAACGACTTTTTCTACCGTCGCGTATGACATGAAAAGAAAAATTAATGAATTCAAAGAAAAATTTGTGTAAATAAGGAAAATCCCAATCTATCAAAGCACTCACGTTCAAAAATAAGATAAAGCATCAACAACAACAAACTTTTCAAAAAGAGAACGAATATTAAAATAATGCAAAATTAAAAAAAATGGATAAGGTTGTGTCACACTGCTTATTTACATATAGACTCAACTGTATGCTCAACCTTTGAAAGTCATTCTTGCACTTGCTCACTTCACAAATACAAAAAAAAAAGCTTATTCTCTCTCTACCCCAAAAAAAAAAAAACAGAAATCTGGCCAAAAAAAATATCAAAATAAAAAAGGAGAATCTGAAGAGAAAGGTGAGGATATTTGAGATGGGGAGTTTGGGAGAAGAAGATTTAGAGAAGCTTGTGATCGATTATATGGAATCTCCGATCAACGTCTCCGAGCATATGGACAAGTCTTCAAGAGCTCTTATCACTCTTCAGGTCTCTATCTATTTCTTGTTACTTTCATTAATGCATTTATCTACTTTTTTATTTCTTGATAAATATGAAATCTTTAATAAATATATTTACAGGAGATTATTGGGGAAAAAGGAGAAAAGGAGCAAGAAATGGAAGAGAAGATAAATGCGTTTATCAATAGAAGAAGATTATCATACGAAGGAGACGATGAGAAGAGAGATGTGATGAAAAAGATTGTTTCTAAGCTTAAATCTGACGGCTACGATGCTTCTATCTCTAGAACCTCATGGGACTCTTCTTTTGATCGCCGTGAAGGTGAATAATAACAAATCACAAAAAATGAAGAAAAAATGAAGAAATATTGTGATCAATCTTTTTGAAGACTTTTTCTCCTTAACTTTTCGGAAAATAGAGGAAGTCAAGTTTTTATTTATTTATATGTGGGTTTTGTGAAAATGTCACAACAGGGTGTCGAGTGTTTAGATGCACGAGGAAGTACGAGTACATTGAAGTCATGGTGCGCGACGGTGATGACGTAATCAAGCGTGTAATCATCGATCTTGATTTCAAATCACAGTTTGAGCTGGTGAAACAGACGAAAGCTTACAAAGACATGACTCAGATGCTTCCGACAATTTTCGTGGCGATGGAGGAGAGGCTCAAAAGAGTTGTTTCGTTGGTTTGTGGTGAGATGAAAAAGTCGATGAATGAAGAAGGTATGTCAAGACCGCCATGGAGGACTACGAGGTACATGCAAGCCAAGTGGCTCCCTGAAAATCGTCGAAGAGTCTCTGGCTCTAAGAGAGGATCTTGGTCTTTGTTTGATAATGGTGAAGATGGTGAAGCTGTTGGGACAACGAGTGGTGGTACTGGTTTGAAAACTACGTGTTGTTTTCCTATTTTCTGAGAGGATTGCGCTGCGTCTTTTTCCTTCGATTTATATATAAGAAAAAAGGTTAGAAATCGGGTTTTGAACATTAGTTCGTTTTTTTTTTGGGTTCGATATATATATATATATATATATATTAAAAAAAAGAGTTGAATATTAGTTCTTTTTGTTTGTTTGTTGCTTCGTATGATTGTTAAATTTTTTGGGGAGTGTTCAACAAAAATTGAAGAAGAAGTAGGGGTTGATCTGTCAGGTTTTTTTCTGCTGCTATATTGCATCTTCTACTTGTATCGATAGCCGATTTATGTATAAAAATAATATGTTTTTTTTGCCATAATCTAATTGTTGTCCATTTTAGTATCTAATGTTAGCTTTTTCTTGGTTCAAGATATTTGATTTTGATAATAGGATTGGACTACCTTACCTTTTTCTTGAATCGGTTATATTAGGTAGCCCCTACGGTTTTCTCCGGTTCAAGATTTTATTGTAGTGCTGCTCTTTATATTTGACAAAATTTGAATTACTGTGATGAAAAATTAAAACGACAGAATAATCGATTGATCGAATAACGGAAATTTAAATGCTGAAACATACTGTACTATCGTTTATTAAAAACGTACGTGAAAAGGTAACGAAACTGAGTTAGATCACATAAAAAATATTCCGTTGTTTTAAAAATACTAGCTTTGGAAATTTGTTGGCTAAACTCTGTCCGGATAATGAAATCAATCAATTCAATAAATTTAAATGCTCAGGACTCCAGCACTGACTTTTCATGAAATTCGGATGATTTAAGTTTAATTACATGAATATGCACTACATTAGCTGTTGAAAAATGTAGACTGGTTGCTTTTCCGATATATCTAAATCAGAATCATATGATTAGAACGATGAGGTGTATAAAACCCAGATAAAATATAATTTGCAAACTGTAATTAATCAATAACCATCCCATCACTCTCAACCATTAGTTTTTTTTTTTTTTTTTTTTGGTCGAAGCTCTCAACCATTAGTTAATAAGTAATCTCTCTTTTTTTGTCTTATCTATTTCGTCACGCTTTATTCTTTCGAGTTAACTCACAGTTATCTAAATTCAAAAAGTCAGATAACTAATTAACTAAGAAATTATGCATTGTCCTATAATTGAAATTAAATACGTTACTGAACTGAATAATAAATAAAGATAGAAGAAAATTTAGATGAAAGGAGAGAAGAAACAGAGAAAAAATCTAAATTTACAAAAAAAAAAAAAATTGAAATGGATAGTCAGAGACTGCTTAGGACTTAAGGCAAGTAAAGAAAGAGAAGGATGAAGAAATCTTCTCGAGCTCCTCAATTGTTTAACTAGTTTTATTACTGATATGACATTTTAATAAACTATAACGAAATTACAACAAGACGAATATTTCTTGAGATGGAACCGTGTTGAGTTGACTTTTAAAAAAACCTTCGTAATTTTAATCCAATTTGATACCAGTTATGGGGTTTGTAACGCATTCAAGGTGGCGGAAACATTTGATCACATACACACATATCTAAAATGCCGTTTAAAAATGAAATTTGTTCAAAATTGTTCGAAAAATAAATCACAAAAAAGCAGAAAATAAAAAAAATGTATTTCTCCAAGTTTTATTTTCTTAAAATCACAACCCATCTATCGTTTTCTTAAAATAGTAGTGTGTAGTATGGATATGGATGTAATAATATAGTTAAAGAAAATGTGGAAGGTAATGTAAAAATATAATTAAGGAGGGGATTTCTGTGAAATAAGAACAAGAAGTAGGAATGATTCCAGAGATGAGACAGAGAGATGTGTCAGCTTCACTCACATCATCTTTCACAGTTGAGAAATCCATCGGCAGCCGAGCTACATAGATCCCTTTCTCTTTCTTTAGTCTTTACTCGATTTGCTCTTTATTAATAATGTTTTCTCTTTTCTCTTATTCTGATTCGGTGATTCCAAATTTGGCATTACCTTTGACGTCAGTTTTTGCTTTTTTTTTTTTTTTTTTTTGTCGTCGTTCACTATATTCCTTAATTCATGGGAGAGTGATATTCCAAAATTCCACATACAAATCTGTATACTAAAAGTTTTTTTTGTTTGTTTGTCAAGGGCCTATACGGGCCGGGCCGGGCGGGTTTACTATAAATCTTTAATCCATTCTTATGTTGGCTAATACAAACCAGACTGAAAATGTATCCATTTTCAAATGATTTTAATCTATTTTCTGCAATTTTGATACAAGAGGAGCAAAATCCCCTCAAGTTACATTTCCTGATTAGCCACAATTTTGTACGTAAAATAATCCAATTAAACTGTACCACGATGAAATGAGAATACACACAAACCCAAAATTCGATCTCTAGGTAGTCATGTATACGAAAGATTCGACGAACCTGACCATAATCTTCTTCTTTCATTGTATCTCCAAATTTCCAATATGATGGTCACACACGCATTTTGGGTTCTTCTATGCTCCAATATCAGATCTTTATCATACGGAAGAATCTTATAGACTAATTTACACAAACTCTTTTTGGGTCTCACGGATCTTTCACACCATATGGCTACCTGATCTTGATATCCTTTGTGCTTCTTCCATGTCCTTGAGAAATCTGACACAAAGCATACTCAGCAAACATTCTTATGATACAGTCTTTAATATGAATATTGAATACCATTCCAAATAATAACTAATTCACTGAACACCAATTTGGCGTTGTGTATTCTCTGACTCAACTAACCAATGTTGATTCCTACTAATGATTCATTTCACTGATCAGTGCTGTTTCCGCTAACGAGTTAGATCACAAACCGTTTAGCCTCATTAGCACACAGACGAACCTGTATTAAACTCAGTTTTTTTCGGTTCAGTGGAAACACTTGAACATACCTCTTGGAATTAAGCACTGCCGTGCCACCGAGAATAAACCGAATCCCGGCGTTGGTGGCATTTTGTAGCGCAACAGAGCGTGATTCCTCATATGTTGTTCCACCAACCATGAAAATCACCACCTCTTGTGGCCTGTTTAACCATAATTTAAGCAGTTTCTGATTAGGTAGTGTACGTTTTTACGCATAGGAGAGATCTGTGACTGTCAAACACAGAATAGTTATAAGAATTCAAAAAAGTAGTAGTGGCACATACCGTCCCTGTTGAAAATGGTCTCCAACAAATGGGTAGTCTACATCTCGTAATCTTCCTCTGGTAATGCTCTCCATAGTTTGAAACAGAAGAGGCTGATGCTGAGTGTAAACATTCTCAACCCCCTGTATTTTCAGTAACATGACATCTATGAGCATGACATATTTTTACATATAGAGAGGTATAAAATGTTCTGGAGAAGGTATAATCTCAGATATAGACCTTAAGTCCACGAGCCATGTTGCGTGCTATATTCAAAAGATCTCTATTTCCAAATAGATCACCAGTACGCTTCTCCACGCCGGCTTGTTTCAAGAGAAATTGAACAAGCTGCAGTTGCGTGATGTCCAGAAAGTTATGGTACAAAAAACATGCAACCAAAGTATGAATTGAGGGTACTTTTTTTCACGTTATTCAGAATGTAGTTAAAACCACCATGGACGAAATTTGAAAACAGGTAAACAAGTATAGTAGTAGCAGAACCACAGACCATTATCCAGCTTAAAAGGAGACACAGAATAATTTTTCCAAACGTACATTCAAGAGATGCAGTTTAAATGAAAGGATTCAGGTGAAAGTTTGACTGTACCCCTGGTTTGTACTTGGGAGACCGTGAAGCCAATTTGTTGAATAATTGCATCAACTGAACGGGATTTTCTTTCTCATAGCGCAAAGCATACAACATTACCAAACGTAGCCGGTCGATGTCAGAAACACTTTCATTATTTAAGAGATCTGTAACTGCCTGCAAATCAGCATGAAAAAGAGAGTCAGAGCTCCATGTTTACAGCAGAGTATGCACAACTTTAAATATCTAGCTTCGATGATCTTTTATTAATTTAAAATTCTGTATCTCACAGGATACATTTGTACGGGACTTCAGTGCGAGATGTGACAGGTACTGAATGCCAAATCATTCAGTAAGAATTTCTGCATGTCGCAACTGATAAAGCACTTCTCTGTATAGTTATTTTTGATGGATGCAACATGAGCGAATATTACATTTACCACATATATTTACTACCTCATATGCAGCTCCTTGGCCACCATTGCAAGCCAAGTCCTGCTCTGTTTGAGAAACGAGCATCAGTTTCCTTGCTTCAACTAGCTTGCTCATTTCAGTAACCAAGGTTACATGCTTTGAGACGTTGCCTTGCATCTTTTTGTACTCAGGGTAGTTGTCAACAAATCTGGCCATGTCCTCTGTAAAACCAACGCATTCACAGATAATAATTGTCGCTAGCACCAGAAACTGAACGTCTTTGCAGAGCATAGTTTAAGACTAGCCATATATGTACCTACTGTCTGGATATTCTGGTTACTCTTTGCCACCTGCTGAAAGTCATCTACCATTCGCTTGATGTTCATTCCAATATCCCCAAAATTTTCATACATGTTAGATTTGAAGAATGCATCTTGTTCTGATGATAAAACCACTTCCTGCCGGGAGAAGAGACGTATTAGCTAGCTGTAAGGTTTTCAACTAACAAATACGGTGTTGGAGAAGACTCACAACTTGCTGATCTTTTGGAAGACTTCCTATGACTCTCAAGTCCACTTTATTATCTTGAAGTCCTATGAGTTCGTGAACCATTGCCTACAGAAAAATCTAGTTAATGACCAAGTCTTAATCTTACGAAAAAAAGGAAAAACATCTGGAGGCACATCTCATAAGAGAGAGTAGCAGAACAATAATTAGTTTTTAGTCAAATTAACCTGATATGTCCACTGATTCAGTAATGGGGTAACCGGGTCATCTCTTCTGTCAATTACAAGCAGCAACGGAGAGCTTTCAGTCCGTCTAAAGTCAAAAAGACCGCTTTCTTGCTGATACATCAATTTCTGAAAGAAAAAAGTGTCTTTCACATGACTACAGGATACAGGAAAAATTTCAGACTAAGCAAGCTGGAGACTATCCATCACATTCATGCAAAATGTAGTTTAACTTACAGCTGTTTCTTGTGCAATCCTTTTTGCGGTATCAGAGGTCCTCTGATATCTGATGACAGGTCTCCGTTTCAACGCCAGAAACACTGCTGCAATTCCATCAACAACCCGATCGGAGTAGCGTTGCAAACCAGAGGGATCGACAACTGCTGGGAGCATATATAAGTGGTTTGATGCCATATTCAACGTGAAATGAAATGGATCACAAGCAACAAAGTCTGCATAAAATTCCTGCAACATAAAAAACCAAGAGGACTATCTTAAACAAGCCAATACAGAAAACTTGAGACATGCAGAGGGAGGAAATAAGCTCTACAATTATGGCCGTTTCATCACAAAACCAAGCAACTTCTAAGAGACAACTAAAATATACTAAAAATCACCTGAACTTGCTGTACAACCTCTTGCTCATCAGAATCAGCCAAAATGTGAATCTGAGTATCCTTTAACAGATTGGAGAAAACTGAAACATTCATTAGAAAAAATATATATAATTGTCAGAGAACAATGATAAACTCGAAATACACAAAAGATGAAAGACCGTACATAAGTGGTATTCTCCAAATCTAGGATTCGCAAGCTGGTATCGTAGTTTCTGAATATTCTCTGAATTTGGGCGGATGAAATAAACAGCTTTGAGATGCGACATCGATTCGTTAGACACAGAGATTGAATCAATCATCTCCACAAGAAAAACTTCTTTCTGAAGAAGCTCTGACTGTGAATACACAATGCTCACATTGCTAACCTGCAATTTCACAAGAAAGCATAAGATTTAATGACCTTCCAAACGAAATTAAGAATCACGATTCCCCAGATACAAATCAGAAGAAGAATAGTGATCGAAGACGAGATCGGATTACCGTTTCGGAGTCGAGTATGAGAACCTTCATGCCGGAGATATCCTGAAGCATCCGGTTGATGTAATCACGCACAGACGTAACCAGCACCATCGTTCCACCGGAAACTCCGCTACGATTACTTCGTCCGATCAGATCTGCCGCGACTGATCTGTTCGATTCTTGTTTACAACGAGGCTTGCGCTGGGCCGTCTCAGTATTATTAGGGCCCAGAGACCAAAAAAAAACATTTGGGGCCTATAATAAAACTTAAGAAGAAAAATGTTTTTTCAAACTATTATTAACAAAATTCAAAATGCATTTGACGACTTGACGTTGATTTTTTTAAAAAATAAATGGTCTTAACTTGTAACGAATGTTCAAAGTATCGCGTCTGGCGGTCAATGGTGGCCGCCTAATCAATTAATCGGAGACTGAACATATATTAATCAATAATTTATTTAAGGATTTTAATTTAGTTTTATTGTCGATTTAATATATGTTGTCATATAGTGTAAAATACAAATTATTGGTTTGGTGTAGTGGCTTGTGTTCTTTTATAGACTTATACTTTATAAGTTTGAGCCTATGATTTCTTTTCTGAAATCTTAACCGCCAATCATTAGATTTTTTTTTTTTAATTATTTTTTCGTTTTTTTTCAAGTTTGTACCCAAAATTCATAGATAAGTAAATATACATTATTATTAAGTGAAAACAAATACAAAAATGAGTTTTTTTATAATACATCCGAGTTTTAATCCGTTTAATTATGATCTAGTAGATTGGTGTTGTTTGCTTTTATTTAAAAGTTAAAACTAAAAATAGGATCATAATATTTTAAAATATAATTTATCTATATGGGAGCTTGACAGTCAATACTTAATTTCGTGTTTATAGATGGTTTAATGTCTGAGTTGACTTTCCATCCCTTCTCCAAAGCTCTGTTTCTCTTTTATTAAGTGGAGTTATCGATTTATTAGTCATCACTCAACACAATCTTATTAATATATAGATATTATTACTACTAAAAAATTAAATAAGTAAAAAGAAAAAATATTGACAAACAATGTAAAATATATGCAAAACATATGCAAAATATAATAAAAATAGAAAAAAATATATTCATATTCAGGCGACCCATATCCATCTTCCACATAGCTCCGTCAAAATCCAAAGCAAAAGTCGTGGTGTTGCTCAGGTAGTTATCGATAATCTTCTTCGTAGTAGCATCCTGGTATAAGATGGAATCCGAGGCAGTAATTGTTCTTCCGGATTTGATATTGTTTAAGATGGAATCGCCGTCCCAGTCCAACGGGATTTTCACGCCGACGTCCCCGCCCTATGGACATCTCGATCTCAGGATACAAAAAAAGTTGGAGCTTATATCTAAATTCCTAGTATCCAATCGTGGAGCCACAAAGAAGCAAGCCCATATCGCAATCGTGTGGACGCTTGAGTAGAAAAAATAAAAAAACTTAAAAAAATCCATTAAATCGAAATCAAATTTAGAATTATTGAATCCATTTGGGGATGAATCTTATCGGCGCTGAGAAGGACAAGGTCTCGGTCAGACAGACCTTGGTCACTGAATTTGGATTTCAGTGTCTCTATGTTGTCTTGAGCGTCTTGCAGATTAGCTGCGTTCTCAGCAGTTGAAATTAGACCGTCTCGTCGACTTGCCGGTATTTGATAGAACAAGCCTTTTTTTTTAAAGTGGGGTTAGCGATTTAAAAACACAATCTTATTAATATATAGATATTATTACCATTAAAAAAAATAAAAAGTAGAAAAAACTATATTGACAAACAATGCAAAAAATATGCAAAACATGAGCAAAATATAATAAAAATAACAAAGTTATCATGTTTTGTTAATCTTTATATATTGTATAAGACTAAATACACTCATCATTATAAACATTACAAGTAGGAAAATTATAACTCACCAATTTGATATGTTTAATATCAATTTATATTGTGATATGTCTGAGTGTAACTCACAACAAAGAAGCAAGTCGCTCTTCCAATTGTATGGACACCTAAAAAGAACAAAAATCAACCTACATCAAATGGGATCGGAATAAAATTAGAATGAGACAATTAGTGAATTGGACGAGACTTAGCGGCGTTGAGGAGGATGAGGTCTCGGTCAGACAGACCTTGCTCACAGAATTTTGACCTCAGAATCTCCAAGCTATCTTCTGAGTCAAGCAAATTTGCAGTGTTTGAGACGAGACCGTAGCATCTACCGGTCGGAACTTGGTAGAATGGGCCTTGTGAGAGAATTAGAGAAACACTGCATCACAAGCGGCCAGAGCCACAATGTCGGAGCAAGATACGTTTCCCAGACAGACACCCTCGAGTTTGGCTTTTGCATCGTCAATTATTTTGAACCCACGAACATCAACTATAGCTTTTTATGAGATGAGATTACGTACATAGAAAGCTAAAGAATTATAGGGCTCTCATTACACTAAGCCATTACATAATTTTATTACCGTGTAAATTGTTTGTTTCCGAAACTTAACCTATCTACTTTTTTCCAAAACTTTTTGATTTTTGTAGCTAGTAAACACTTAATTTGATAAAAAGAGAACTCTATATATATATATATATATTATACTCCCCAATTAATTCTCCATCGTTCATCGCAATTTTTGTTGTTGTGATTACGCCTTTATATTTTATATGTGTAATAAGTTTAGATGTTGTATTATATTAGAATTTTAGTGGTGGTCAGACTTTGTTTTAAAGCAAAACGTACTCTTTTATTCTATGAATGTGCATGTGTAGACTATGTGACAAGACTTACAAGATATGAAATATTGTCTTTATACACATGGCAAGCACAGCATCGATGCTATGGTATGAAAAACAGAAAATAAAATCCCATATCACTAAACCTGACTAAACCAAACTATGATAGACTTGATAGTTGAAAAATGAATTCATCATTACATTAGTTTGAAGGCTTACTTACACATTCCACAAAAATATCTAAAACGAATCATTTGATAATGTTAGTGATTACGTACCTTTGCTCTTGTAGCTTGTGTGGTGTGCGCAGGTACTCACAACAAGTGCAAAGCGTGAGGTGACCTATTGGATGTACGACTTATTTTGTGTCACCTCATAGATTAGTGTTGTTTGCTTTTATTTTAAAGTTAAAACTAAAAATAGGATCATAATTTCTTAAAATGTATTTATCGATATGGGAGAATACTTGATTTATAGTTTAATATCTGAGTTGACTCTTCCTCTCTCCTCCAAAAGCACTGTTTCTCTTCTCTTAAGTTGGGGTTAGCGATTTAATAGTCAACACAATCTTATTAATATAAAGATATTATTACCATTAAAAACTTAAATAAGTAAAAAAGAAAATATATTGACAAACAATGCAAAATATATGCAAAATATGAGCAAAATATAATAAACCGTCGACGATTTCGATGAGAATTTTGATGCTAATAAGGCCAATTTTGAATAATAACTTCAAAATTTTCTCAACTAATCGAAATATGTAAAATTACAAAGTTATGTTATCGTAAACTAATGATATAATGTAAAATGATTGCTATATAAGCAGAAGGCGCAACTTGAATGGGATCAGATACAAGCGGAGAAAGGGAATTACAGAGATGGACATTGGAGAATTAAGATCAAAGACAAGAGACTTAAAACTTGCTTCGAAAATTTCTGTTACTGGGAGAGTATGCTTCGGCATTGGGGTGAGACGAACACGACCGGGAAGTCGCATGACTGTCGGGTAAAGCCATCCCAAACCGTGATTTTGTTTTGGGTCTTTGTAATCCGGTTAAAAGATTTAGCCGGTTTTGTACGAAATTAAATTTACGCTCCCTTTTCAGTAACGAAATGTGGGTTGGTTATGTTATTCGACATAAAACTAACCCAATTTACCATAGAGAACCGGATCTGATGAACCGAACCGATAAATTAATTTTAGCGACGAGAACCAAAGGTTTTAGCCGCAAAAATGGTGTCGACGCGAAGCCAGAGGCCAGTCTCTTCT